CTTTCTTCCTTGACATCGCTGCTTCCGTGCAGTTAACCACATTAACGCAGTGAATCGTCGTCAATCTGTGGATATGAAATCCTAATTTCGATCGTTGATTTCACGGTTCAACATACCACTTTCAATTGGTTTAAATTCCGCAGACTGCCAAAACTCGAATAAACTTTCAACTAAAGACACAACAATCACTAATTAGTGATATAAGAGATGATTTGCATGCCCTCCACTTGCACTGCAATGAGTAGATCTGGCAAGGAGAGCAGAATTGAAATCAGTTTCAAGTTCAGTCATATGCATGACCATGAACAGTAAGATGAATGCCAAATGAGCAATGTAACAACAATCTCATAGATCACTCAATACCTATCACCTGCACCTATGCAGTAGTCATTCGTACGATTTCTGAATTCCTTTCGGAAGCTATCACACTCACATTCAAATTCTTCAGATTTCACCATCGGTCATTCAAGCCTAATTAATCTGCGGCAATCCTGATAGTGGGTGTTGATCGAAAATGTTCACGGAACAACGCGCAGCTGCACTGCATTAGCAAGGATACAACTAACACATAATAACAGCCACATTACCAAATCGAGCATCATGCAAACACAATCAACACAATGAAATTAGATCGAGATGGAAACAATTACATACGAGTAAATAACATCAAAATATCCATAACATCCTCGATATCAATGCGATAAATTCACGACAAATCACCAGTCAAAACACGCGAACATATAATTGAGACGTACTCACAACAACAACAACAATAATAACAGTAACAACAGCAACGAAAACGTACCAATAAATGTCTCACATTTAAAAATCAATGAACAAATCAACGAACAATTCTTATTTTGAAAACATTGATCGAAACTGATCATTTGATAGTTTCGTTGCAATTGGTTTTCCACTCTCCTTTTGCTGATCCTCAACTCCGCCTTTATTCGTCGTCTCTTCACTTCCTTGATGAGCAGTTGATTTACTCGAATTCGTCTCCGGTTTCGATCTTGCAAGTGCCCGTGGCACCAATAAGTCGATTTTATTCCGCTGATGACTCTAAAACACAAGAAAAACACTATTCCAATCACAACAATCAGATCGTTTCTAATCTAACACCAACCTGAACTATAATGCAAAAGCTACACCGCCGAAACCTTGATGCTTTACACGATCTAATTGGAAAATATCACGAACATACAAATATTCTCAGAAATAAAACCAAACCACTGAAGATGACGCGATCCTGGATGGAGCTGCTGCTGCTGCTATTGGATCTTTTTTCTTGGGCGGATTACTCAGTGCCACGCTGAGTTTACGTTCTGAAATTTGAAAAGAAATAATGTCACACGGAATCATCTCAATCGTCCACTCTCAACTAATTTCCATTCGATGATTACCTAAGTGCAAGCGTGACTCACCCAATCTTGATCAAAACTACTACTACTACTAATGAACACTGCTCATAAGGGAAACCCTCTCAGAACGTATGCCGGCTGAAACCTTAAAAGTAACGCAAAATTTTTACCCAACAACACGATTTCCTCAGTGGCCGCTTTCACAGCTGCACTTGCAGACGCCTCATCTTCGAACTCAATATACGCAAACCCTTTTGATCTACCAGATTTGTGTGTTACAATACGAACATCACGGATCACACCATAAGCGGTAAATACTTCCTGCAAATTTCCACCAGCTGACAATGCCTCACTCGCCAACTAGCAAAATTTCAAGCAGTCGAAATTTCTTTCAACTGCATCACAATTTCACAGCATTGCACTGATTCAAGCCATCAAACAAAAATGAATCTAATTCTAAATCGTGCGGATTCCACGCATTTCAATGGGTCAACAATGTGTATCAACATAAATTTGAACGTTCGGCAACACCATCAGAAATGTGATAGTGTTTTTTTGAAAACTATGATTGCATTCTATGAAGATATTTTACAATTAACACTTAATCACAGTCTACTTCATTCACCAAGCCACGAACCCTTATCGTTAGAGCACCCATCATATCAGCAACACTCAGAAGGAGTGTCCAAATTCAAAGAACTCTCAAAAAGCAGCTCATCGAAGACAAACGAATTTCGCATCACAACGCTCTCTCTCATCAATTCAAATCTCATAAAGTGCTCTCTGTATCCGGAATAGTCTCAAGACAATCGCACTAAAAGCGGCGGCATACAAACGACAACAAACCGTCAAACCTTCAGTTGCTCTTCAGTTGCATCGTAGTGTACGTTTCCCACAAAAATTTTATTCTTCTCCAAATTTGTCGCATACCGAAATTCACTGTGTTCACCTCGGTGCTCGTGCGGTCTATTTTCCGATACATACATCGGTCGACCATCGATCAAGTGACGATCCTTGCTTAACGCCGCACATGCCTCTTCGACCGTCTCAAAGTCCACATAGCCAAAACCCTCAAAACAAACACGCAACGTCAAATCATTCAATCGTTCAACTCACTCACTCGCAGCACAATCTGAACCACTCACCTAGATGGATGGCTCACATCATTGTTTCTTTTCTCTCATCTACTACGACTTGTAACTTGTAACAAAATTACTAAATCAGCTCTAACATCAGTACAACTGAAAACGTTGAGAAATGATGTATATCATAACAGTGATCAAATAAACACACCTACCTAAGAGTTGCTTACGATAAATTAGAATTGATTAAATTTCGTTAGGAGACTATTTCAAAGTTATCATCAATATTTTCATAAACACAATTTTAGTGCACTATTAAAATGATTGATTTTTCGACAAAATTTATTTTTTCTCCATTTTGTTTTCAAGCACAACATGAACGATGCTTCCAGTTCCTTAAATGCTTCGAGTTGAACTGACTCACCTTATGCAGTTTACTCATTCCTCTGTGAATGAAGCGCACTTCTTTCGCATTTGGAAACACTTCCATGATTCGTTCCTTCGGTAGTTTAAAGTCAAGATTCGAAATGAACACTGTCTTCTCGGCTGCCGCTCCTGCAGTCGTATTGCCTTCAGATGAGCCGCTTTTAGCTACGGCTGAGCGACCAGCCACTCCTGATCCATCGGTACCATTCCGCGAAGACGATGGGATCGAAGCGGCTTCAGAGTCGATTTCTGCCGGCTTTTTGACCGCTCTATCGGTAGAACAACGCTCCTGTTTGATTGGTTTCTTTTTGGGTGCGATTGCCGGCATTGTGGGCACTGTGAAACCATCCTCATCAATAACTGTGCGCGCTCTCTTCTCCTATAAGAGTTTTTTGCACAAATCGGCTCGGCTCTTATGACAATGACACATTTTCGTTGAACTCTAACTGTGATCGATGATCTACAGATCAGTCGATGATCTAACTGATCGATGATCTACAGATCAGTCTCATGCTACACACCATCTCAGCCCTATTCAGCAACACTAATCATTTCTCACCTTACCCATTACAAATACTTC